GACCCCTGCGCCACCACGTCGCCTTCGGCGGCGACCGCGCCGACCCGCAAGGGCGCCCCGCCGCACGCCTGCCCGGGCTACGGCATGGGCATGGGCGTGATGCTGGGCGTCGTCGCGGCGGTGTTGGATGCGGGGGTGATGCGGTTCACGGGGTCGCCGACGGTGGTGGCGTTGGGGGTGTGATCGTAGAAGCTGATGCCTGCGCGACCATCCCGGTGAACGATATCCTGCATATATGCACGCCATGAACAGCGGTGCGAGCGGACGGGGAACCGTCTAGACGCTTTTCTCAATACCGCGCGAAAGCAGCTCTGCAAGATTTGTAGACGGACCCGCTATTACGGTTCGCCACATCGACGAAGTTACCACCCAGCTGCGGCCGCAGTTCGTTAGCGTTGCAGGACTATCAGGTTATTCCTCGGCGACGGCACCCAGCGCAACGCGCCACATCCTTTTGAACGACGCCACTACGGTATCAATACGCGCGATTCAGCAAATCAGGGAGAAGAAATGGACATTTCAGAAAAGAAACATCGAATCGAATCGATTTCGAATGAAGTTGGCGAACTGCACCCGATACTTGAAAATGTCCTGCCTAAGCTACCGGGGGTGAAGAGCTATGCCTATACACACGGCCAGTACGAGCGTGGTGCCGACTTCATTATTGAGCTTGAGAATTCTTCTACTAAGCGAACAAGCCATGTTGGCGTTGTTGTGAAATGTGGAAAAGTATCCGGGGCAAAATCTACTGAGGTAGAGGAACAAATCAAGGAGTGCGCCGAGGAGCGCACCTATCAAGTAATCAACCGCGTCCGATGCTCAAGCGTTTGGGTGTTCGCATCGGGCGGCTACTCAGAGCGTGCCAAAGAAAAACTGCAGGAACGCCTCAAGGGGCGTAGCCTTGACTTCTTCGGGCCCGAGGATATTGCAAGTTTCGTCGATGACCATTACCCATATTTTTGGAGCGACTTGCCAATTGAGATTGGCAACTACCTCCAAGGAGCGAAAGCTCGGATCGAAGGTCTAGACAAGACCACTGGGCTTCTGGTCGCTGCCGGTCAAAGCGACACCTACATCGAACTAGATACCTACGAGCGGCAGCGGAAAACGTACACAAACACAAATACCACAAAGCCGTCAATCAAAGCGGTAGATTTTATCAAAGAAGCCTGCAGCACTTCGTTTGGCCTCCTGGAAGCCGAAATGGGGTTTGGAAAGTCAAAACTCTCAAGGCGGCTTGCGCTTACCTTGTGCGAGCCCGAATCCTTCAAACGTCGCAAGCTGTTGCCTGTATTTTCTTCTTATCGGATGTTTATTGATCAATATTCGTCAGATCTAGAAGAAATAGTGCGGGTGAGCCTTGGCGCAGCATACGCAAACTTCCAACGCGAAGAGTTTGAAGTTTTGGTAATCCTTGACGGAATTGATGAGTGCAGCTCCCCAGGGAACACTACTACAGATCTATTTGAAAGATTGAGAGCGTCGCACGCCAAACTCAAGAGCTACCGCGTGATTGTCACCAGTCGCCCCCTCAAATCACTGGTGGACAGAGCGGCCCTCTATACAGACACTCGGACGTTTGGTATTCGGCCGCTGAGCCTAGTCAAAATCGTTCGATTTTTGGAGCAAACCTGCGCGAACAGCAAGCTTCCATCTCGGCTTTTCGAGGATTTAAAGCGTTCACCGCTTTTCAAGCAATTGCCTCAGTCGCCAATCGCTGCGGCCCTATTCTCCAACTTATTGGCACAAAGCCAGCAAGAGGTTCCCCAAAGCCTTACTGAGCTGTACTCGAAAAGCTTGGAGCTGATGCTCGGCCGTTGGGATCAGAACAAGGCGCTCGCTACGGAAAAGCAGTTCAAAACGGCTCAACTTATTGCCGAGCAAATCGCCTGCTATTACCTTGACAATCAACTTATATTTTTAGCCAAGGACGACTTTTCATCGTTGATTACCAGCTATCTTTTGCGCAGAAACACTGGCATTAGCGCAGAACAAGTGCACCAGATTTTGCTCGAACGCTCCAACGTTTTTGTTGTAGATGAAGACGCGGGTACTATCGCTTTCCGTCATCGATCATTTGCAGAATATCTGTGCGCAAGCAAACGGGCGAAGGATCGTTCACTGGATGTTAGGGAGACTGCATTAAATCCCTACTGGACAAATGTCTTCTATTTCTATGTTGGCACACTGCTGGACTGCCCAGAGGTGTTGATTGAATTGCAAAAGACCGTTGGCGTTACCGAAACGCAAGAATGGATGAAGCTCATCTCGGTGCCTAGCTACCTACTTGCGGCATATCAAACAGAGTTCGATGCAGTCGAAAGGAATGTCAAGGTAGCGTTGCTTGATGCAGCGAAACTGTTTGCCCGCGTAAAATCGGGCAACACCACGACGCGTCTGAAGGATCTCTCGGAGATGCATTTGCTCTACCTATTCAAGAGCGTGGTCGTAGAAACGCTCGGGTATGATTTTTTCAAGCCGGGATTTGAAAGCATCGCACTCCAAATTGCAGATGAGCTTGAGGCGGAAGAAGTCAAAGCTCACGCACTATTCTTTTTGGCATGCGCAGCGCTGCATTGTGGTGACGATTCGTGCTTTAAATTTATGGTGGATACATACGGAGCAACCAAGCTGCCGATTGCGGTGTCTTTAGCCATTCGCTGTGAACTTGAAACTGCTACAACACTTTCAAATAGTCGGCTATTGAAAGTACATCAAGACAAGTTGCGTCGAGTTCTTTTTGGTAGCGGCAAGCATCCTTCTCCGACTGACCGTTTAGCGACGCAGAGCCGCCTGGATGAGTTGTTTGATCGTCCACTTTCCGCTCGAACGAAGCAGGCAGCGGCGCTTCAAGTGCCCCAAGTTAGGACCAACTAGGCCTAGGAGGGACGTTGCACCTCCGCGAGGCGGCGCCAACTTGACGCGATTTTGACGAACTGACGTTAGGCGAAGGCGGCGCCCTCGATCGTCAAAGCGCTCAACCGCTTGCCCGGGCCAGCCCCTAACGCGTCAACCAGCACACCGCGCCCGCCCCGCCAGAATCCGCGCCATGAAAACGGTGTACGAAGCCGCCAGCGCCATCGAGGCCCACATGCTGGTGGACCTGCTCAAGCAGGAAGGGATCGAGGCGCAGGTGCGTGGCGAGGCGCTGCAGGGGGCCATGGGAGAGATCCCGGCCACGGGCCTCGTGCGGCTGGAAGTGGACGAGGCCGACCATGCGGCGGCGCGCGGCGTCATCCAGCAATGGGAGCGGACCCAGGTCGAGCCCACGCCCGCACCGGCGCGGGCACCGCGTTCGGGACTGGCGCGGGGCCTGGTGATCGGCCTGGTCGTGG